AAAGACGTCATTATCCGCATTTTACAACATTTCGCAAATAAAAAAACACTTTGGAATATTACTAATTTTGTGATGCTCTTTCAAGCTGTGATGAAATTTTTGTCTAGACTTGTTTAGATCAAAATTTAGTCTATTAAGCAAATGGTCAATTTAATTTGTCATTAAATTCGCCAATTGGTCGACATCAAAATCACGTTTCGTTTCAAACGACGAATTTAATTCAGACGAATTCATTTCATGATTAGCGATCATGGATTACCCAGAAATAAAAACCAGAGGATCAGAAAGACAGAAACAGACTTTAATATAATTTATGCATTTGATTCGATACGACGACGTACCTAACCAATTTATGAGCTTTTAACATTGAACGGGGGGGGGGAGTTAAGAATTGCTGTTTTTGCAAGTATGTATCGGGCAAGGCAGGTATTTCCGCGGGTGCTGTCCACAATAATTTTTGCCAGATTGTATCATGATTTCTTTTTATTCTAGTTTACTCTGCCAGGAGTACTCAATATTGTGGCAGGTGCAATCAGAAATGCCGTTGTGGTAAGGGCCGGAGAGAATCAAAACTTTCCCACTTAAAGGCGGTTTTCCACTAGGCGAAATTTTTCGATCGAACCGAAATTTCTATTGTTCAATTTCAAAAGATTTCTGACTCTGTTTAGTTCCATCTGAGTGCTTGTAAGACAAAAGGAAATTTCGATTCGGTTGAAAAATTTCGTCTAGTGGAAAACCGCCTTTACAAGTACTCAGATGGAACTAAACAGAAATCTTTTGAATTTGAACAATAGATATTTCGCCTAGTGGAAACCGCCTTTAGCGGGAAAACTTTCTGTCGTGTCAGCAACTTTTCTGGTTTTAAAATATATTTTTAAGTTTTTTAAACTTTTCCCCGCCTTGCGCGTCACACCAGTGCCAGGTCACAGAATAAGGTACATGTACCTTATTCTGTGGCCAGGTCACAAGCCAGAAACTTTACCCGGTATAAGCGGGATAACGTTTCTCCTTATGAACAGAACAAAATTATTTGGCCAGCCAAAATGTTTTCTCGCTAACCGGGATAACTTTTGCCCATATGAAAAGGCCCTAAGTTTGTGTTTTCTTCATGAATTATTAATGCGTTTCACAACTACTTTTGAAATCGGTCTATAACTTTAATTCTTTCATTCTAGATGGGTTATGCTTTGTTTTTCAACATCATTGCTATGGTCGTTTAGACCGCAGCTTCGATCATTTTGATCGTAATAGCTGGTGCCATGAATGAATTCGCGAGTGATTACAAGAGCCAGTGCATCGATAGCGGATGTAAATGCAAATGCTCATCTATCAAACAAGGCAATGATGATCTCAACGGCTACCCGTACGGCAATACAGAAGTCGTAGTTAGTGTAGAATGTAAGTAAAGGTTGGTTTTCATTGCTAAGGCCAGGGACGCTGGAACTGGGGGGGCAGGAGGGGCAGCCGCCCCCGTTGCCCTTTACCAAAAAGGGCAAGATTTTCTAAGCCAGGCAATATTTTTTTTTACACCTGTAGAAGTAATTTTTTTCTCACTTTATGGCTGGAAATATTTTTAAGTGCAATTGACCATTTGCGTAATAGACTAAATTTTGATCTAAACAAGTCTAGACAAAATATATAGCCTTGCGAAGTTTGCAATTTTCAGTCATTTTGTATTACAAACGGGAAATTGACAGTCCCAAAGGGTATTGGGCAGTCAATTTCCCGTTTGTAATACAAAATGACTGAAAATTGCAAACTTCGCAAGTACTAGTCTATATCCGCATTTTATAACATTTTGCAACGAAACTTTGGAATATTACTAATTTTGTGATGCTAGCTAGCTCTTTCAAGCTGTGATGAAATTTTTGTCTAGATCAAAATTTAGTCTATTACGCAAGTGGTCAATTTACAGGCTTATCTTCCAAGCTATACGATTTTTTTTGCTGGGGAGTGTGCTGTGCAATATCTGTGTCTGAAAGTGGCGGTTAAGTTTGTTCTGCTTGTGCGCAGGTTTCTTTGCATAATTTGTGTCAAAACATTTTCTTTCAGGGAACATGACATGCAGTGACTTTGGCACACTTTATTCTCTCTTCGTCGCTGTGCTGGTCATGTATATTATCCTCGCTGTGACTTCCTTCACTGCATCAATCTTCGGCTGTCGGGGTACTTGCCATTGCCACTGCGATTGCTGTGTTCCTGTTGTAAGTGTATACCTTAAATACCCAGCATGAGCTCCACCTTTGAATTTACTATATGAGTACATTTTTAAACACGTCCGAATTTATCATTATGATAAATTCGCGGCACATTTTGAATTTATCGTAATAATAAATTCGCGGCACCTAACACTAACCCTAACACCTAACCACTAACCCTAACTTTTTAACTTTGTAACTTTTTTAACTTTTTTAAAAATCTAACTTTTTAAACTTTCTTTGCTTTTTAAAACTCTTTTAAAACATTTTTAAAACTTTTTTAAAAACTATTTTTTTAAAAAAGTTGAAAATCTCTAGTGCCATTACATTTATAACAAAAAGTCTTGTCAAATGCTTGTGGTTTTATGGTTAACTCTATTGATAAATTCAAAACGTGCCGCGAATTTATCATAATGATAAATTCGGACATGTTTAAGAATTTACTCATATAGTAAATTCAAAGGTGGAACTCATGTTGTAAATAACTTTGGGGACTGGTCATTATTTATGGGGGGGTGGGGCTGGCACCGAAGAGAAATGTTTTTGGCGTGGCAAAACTATTTTGTTGACCCAACCATTAAAAAGTTAAAAATTTGATTACCCAACCTCAAGTATCAATTAAAAAATAACTACCCATCCCTGGCCAAAAACGTTACAAAAGGATGCCATTCAGTTGTCACACATGTCCTTCACCACTTCTGTGACACGAGTTTGATAACCGCTTGTAAAAAATTTAACTAAATTTCTGCAGTCTAAAGTTTCATGTTGTCTGCATATGTACTTTCTTTGGAGACACCATTTGCTTTCTAACAAATCGGAAAATGATCAAGATAGTGACTCTGATTGATTCACGTATTGTATTTACCACAAATGATTGTTGACATTGCTTTTTAATCTTCAATATTTGAGTGAGTCATGCTTTGGAAATGACAATAATTTTTATTACCTAACCCTTGAGTTGTTTTGTTTTTCATTTACCCAACCTTTTACTCACTCAAAATTTTGTTTACCCAACCTTTTTCTCTTCGGTGCCACTCCCTGCCATAAATAATGACATCTCTCTTACTACTTTGGGTGCCAAAAATTCTTCTCCGCTCGTAATGGTGGATAACGAGGGACACGTGAGGTTGTAGAAAGTTAAATTCGTAGGGCGAAACAAATTACACCAGCGGTCTTGGTTATACATGGTGGTTCGATGTATGTTCATGGCCAGAAAAACGAAACAAACGAAAATACAGAATAGGTAGTAACGTGCATCAGGCAAACATTACATTAAATATTTATACAAACTATGTTCTGCAACCAGCAGTTGAGGCAATTTGCAACCGACCTATACGTACCGTATTCTCTGATTTTAAGATTTACATCATCGCGGAATATAGCCTAATATAATTAGCCTTTTTCACGAAGGCCAAATTCGCCAGTTTTGGGGTAAAAAAAAATCTGTGAAAAATCTAAGCGATGTGAAAACATTTTTTCAAATATTCAACTGTAAATTAACTTATAATGATTATACTCACAAATCCCTTATTCACTGCATACAATCTCAGATTTGGAAATGGCGACATGAGAAAGGCTAATTTACTGTCACACACGTAAAAACGCACAAGTTGTCACAAACCTACAGCGGACTTGTGGCTGCAATGCTGTTCCAACACCTTGTGAGCAGGATGTATTCGCACCGCTTGTTCTTATGAACTAGCCTGTTGACAACTTCGGCTACAAGGTTTCTGATGTTACTCTGAGTGTATATCCACACCGGGTAAGCTGAAAAGTTAGAAATAGAACCCGCGACCTTTGGGATACTAGTCCAATGCTCTGCCAACTGAGCTACGAGGCCAAGTCTGTTCGAGTGTGTGGTATTTCGGAACTAAGTTTAGTACCTTCGATACCAATGTGTTCTATGATCATGATATTTTTGTGTGTGCTTTGATGTTATGTACTCAGGTGAATATAATGTTTTTGATGTTACTCTGAGACCCAGACTCACACACTCGAACAGGCTTGGTCTCGTAGCTCAGTTGGCAGAGCATTGGACTGGTATCCCAATTCCCAAAGGTCGCGGATTCGGTTCCCACCGTGGTCAGGCTAACTTTTCAGTTTGCCCGGTGTGGATATACACTCAGAGTAACATCAAAAACATTATATTCACCTGAGTACATAACATCAAAGCACATGCACACAAAAATATCATTGCTACAAGGTTGTTGAGCTAAACAGCAGTATATGACCGTTCGCTGGTTAGGTCGGCAGGGCATGACCTTGCTTTTCTTCTTATCACGTGATTTTCTAGAACCAATATATGGTGGCAACCGATGGATGTCATACCGGTGGCACAGTTGTTGTCTCGTCCAATCAAACCTCAATGATGCATTCTGGTTGTCCAGGGTAGGTGGCGCCTGCCCATGTTCACATGCACCCCGTTACTTGTGAAGACACACCTGGCCTGGTCCAAAACATGGCTATTTGAAGCGACGGCCATTTATTATCTTACTGATTTTTCTGATTTATACTTAATATCATTTTATTGCTTTTAATAAACGTAATTTAGATGGAGGTAGTCGATGGAGGTAGTTGATCGCTTAGTGAAGCCCAGCTGAACGCCGACTGATCGCTTGATCCAGATTCTTTCTTGAAACGAAGACGCGCTACCGACGTTGTATTCGTCTGACCATGACGGATAAAACGTCTTGGACGAATTTAATTCGTTTCATACAATGCACTACCGTCGCATTTAATTCGTTCAATTTGAAATTTGTCTGAATTAAATTCGACGATAGTGCGACGTATGAAACAGGCCTTACAACTGAACAATGCTGTAACAACATTGTTGACAACTTGTTCTGAGGGTGCACAGCAAAACCTTGTTCAAACCTGTCGATATCTTGACCGGGAACACGTCGTTTGTTTTTACGCGTGTGATTTTGACTCTGGGGAACATTGTTGCGAAACTACATGTGAAAATCTTCATCAGTTTCCTCATATCTTTCCCTGCTTGCCCCAGCCTTGGAAATAGTCGGTTTCGCCGAAAGCATTTGAAAATCTTCAATATTCTTGCAAAGTTGCGACTATTGAACAAGGGAGAGGGGGAGGGGGGGGGGGACGAATTCGAAGGTCTTCAAAATAATAGGTAGTTTGGGATCTGTCCCAACCCATTGAAATCTGTCCCAACACGTGAAAATTATTGTAGATGAAAATTTGTGTTTGAGCTACTCGAAGAAGATTGAAATTACTTGGTTGTCAAATGAGCCAAGCTATTATTAATTAAACCTCTGCACAAAAGGCCTTGGCTTAGTCGCTTAGAAGACAAATTAGTTGTTTTAATCTCTCGGCGGGTCATTCACTAAATTCAGACACAAACCACGATAGAAAGAAAGCTTCCGTTTGATAGGAATGCAACTACCTGTAGTAAACTACGTTTCAACCGTCGGGAAGAATGAATCAGAATGAATGAATACATGACAACAATATGACTGGAAAACCTGTGGCCCTCGTATACAATGTATACAAAGTTTTTAATTCTACTTTAAAGCGTCTAAAAGCTACTTGGAGTAAGAAAAATATATAAAAGATCTTAGGATTATAAATTCATATATACATAAATTATACATTTACTGATCACAATAACAATTCAAAGCTATCGATACCCTTGGTTATTATGCCTGGTTCAAGAGCAAACTTAAGGAATTAACGTCTATATCAATCCGACGCTTCCACAATAGCAGTTTTATCCACAAATACACAGGCCATTCTGAACATTGAAAAATATTTAAATTAAAGATTAAAAGTTACAGGTGGAGTTGGATAATTATGTTATCGTTGCCGTTGGCGACCTCTGGGACTGCTAAAAATTTCATTAGTGAAATTGCGATAAACATATTTTTTGTTTAAAAAGTAGACAGAGATATGGATAGAGCCGAGATATTTGCCCTCTGTTGCGATATATTTTAATTTTATTTCATCCCCTTGAAATTTGATTACATGCTTGAGCTTCCAGCTGCGTATATACTTGAATAATTATTGCAGGAATGCAGTTTCGTTTTTCACGAAACAAAAGAGTGCTTTGAGGCAGGAAACCGTATCAGCCACGCTTGTCCATTTTGAAACGTTTTCTCGAACAAATCCAGCACAAAAGTCAAGCAGAATTTGTCAAGATGGTGATGTCTAGAAGTACAGCAGTTGGGTCGATAGTAACAGGCTCTATTATGCTCGGTTTTGCAATTATTGCCGTGATATGTGGGGCAGTTTCAGCCGGGAAGCTGTCTGGCCAGGCTGCAGCTTCGGCTGGTTTGTGGTCGCTCTATGTAAGTATTAATTAAGCCTTGTTCATGTCCAAGTCTTACGCCTAAAACTTACGTGACCCATGTTGTTTAGAGCTTGAGTTTCATTTGGTCGCACTAGGCTTGATTGTCAGATCTTGTCGTTGACATTACTGGTTGCCTTTTGTGAAGTATTAAATTAAGGAAATACGTTTTCCCAACTTGTATAGCAATGTAGTGAATGTTTGGTAGTCCTATTTTGGCTACAATCATCGTGTGATCGCGACCACCACGACTAAGTCCAAACTAAAGCTAAATTCTGCTTCTCATTTGCTTTTTAATGAATAATGGCGACTGTTTGCCAATATGGCGATGTCATGTAAATAGTCACGATCGATGTGCCATTTTGAGTTTTGTAATTGTATGCAGATTAGTAAAGACAAAGGCAGTTTACGGCATGCATTCGTCACAACGGCAAAAAACTGGCCTTGACTTTTGTCCTGAAGACTTTAAGACGGCCGAATAGCGAATAATATTGAAATAAAATCGATAAAAGATCGTAGACTAGTCTGAAGGGCGCGGATCGTTGTCATGCCATGCATATATGTAATGTTTGTCTCGTAAAAATATCCGTTATGTATAATACACAATGATTATATACGCATATGAAGATACAAACAAGTGTTTTAAAAACTTTAAACAAAAACAGCGGACGTCGAAATTACAGAATACCCATACAGTATCAGGGCCTATCAGTGCCAAGTGCGCTGTGAAATTATTCAATATGGCTATACATCGCATTTTCGCAGGTACATACACGCGCAAGTATATGCTAGGCTTTCTCGCTTTTACCGCCAAAAATGAAGTGAAGAACAACTAGAGATCATTTCTGTTTAGTTCTGACGCGTGACGGCGCCAAGACGAAGCAAGAAATAATTTTCAGTTGAAATCGTTTTGCCTTTGTGGCATTTCCAACTTGTGCTTATAAATATCGGCTTATGCTATCGCGCTCACATTGGCGTTTGACAACTTTTTGCGTCTGCATTTTTTTTTACTTTGTCTTGCTGTTAGGCATTCCCTCAAGCTGTGAAATATCGATCAAAGTGCTTGTATAAAAGAAGGTTTTGACAGTTTGACAGAAATGCATGTGCGGGCTGTGTAAACCTCTTAGGCCTTGGCTATTTTCTGTGCTATTTCGAAGACGCAATGATTTGAATTGACGTCATCAATTTCTCATCTCACAGATCGCTTCCAAAAATGGACCTCAGAATTGAAATCCTCGTGTTAAATTAATCTATGCCGAAAATTTCATGATGTTTGGATAATCAGGGCGCGAATTACGGCGTTTTGGAAAATTTTGTTTTCCCAACTGTTTGACAACAGCGGAAATTCCAATCAAATGTATGGGGAACTAAACTGTCAAAACGCCATAACTCCATATCGCCTTGAATGTCTAAACATGAAATGTTCGGTGTAGACTAATTTGAACCAGTGAGCTCTATATATATATCTGGAGTAGGAACTTCTAATGTTTTGGCAATAGGCCAAGTGAAGCCAAAAAAAATCCAAGATGGCGGCCATTGACGTCCAATAGCTCTGAAGGTCGTAAACAGTTTTTATACCATTTTCCCAAGCTAATTCCAGTTTTTTCTAATGGACCGTATCACTAATCAAATTTTCAGTTCATAAAATCACAATATTATTCTTTAAATCGAAGTCAAAATACGAAATTTCAACACACTCCTTGTCAAGATGGCGGAAATTGAAGGAGCTCTTGGACGTCAGTTCCAGTCCCTTTCTATTGTTTTTGTATGCGCGGTTAACACGAAACTGGCTTCACTTTGAGCAACCAAGTTCCTACTCCAGATATATATGGAGCTCACTGATTTGAACCTGAAGATTTCAATTCTGGGGTTTTGATCTAGGCAAGAAGAACAAAATCACATTTGGGCCGAAAGTGGTGCATTTTCCCGTGCGTAATACAAATTCATACAAAATTTGCAAATTTTTGTAGGGCTATATTTTCCTCATTTTACAACATTTCTCGCAACCAAACTTTGCAATTTTACTAATTTTAACATCATATGCTCTTTCTAGCTGTGGTGATGGATTTTGTTCTTCTTGCCTAGACCAAAATTTAGTTAAAAGCTGAAGTCATCTATTGCGTGATCAAATTTTAATGACGCCATTGCAACCACAACATATTTTTGTGCAAACCTGTATTCATTCTGGGGAAAATAAAACAGTCTTTATACTGTGTTTCATTTACACTGATTATACAAAAGACATTTAAAGACTAAAAGAGTTTTAGATTTGACTACGTGTGCGACTGGGCGAATTCATCATTTGCCCACAATTTTCGCGCCGACAACATGACGTAGGATAAAATGTAGATACGGACGGCGGACGGACGGACCAAAGGATAAGTTGCAGCAAAAAAGATAAAATGCGCTAGCGGCGACTGCTATTCTTACTTGAATTCACGAACGTGAAATTATACAAATTTTATTTCAAGAAAGACAATGCTATCGCCATAATTAACAACAATAATAATAATTATTATTCCAAATATATATGAATTGTATATGCGATACCAAACTTTTCCCGGCCATTCCAAAGTAAACGAAAGTATTACTGTTCACATACACATGTTGGCGTCTTTGTCTCCCCCCCCCCCCCCCACAATGTTGGTTTTAACATGCATTTCACCTGATCAATGTGTAATCTTTTAGCATTGAACGGGGGGAGGAGGAAGTTAAAAATTGCTGTTTTCACAAGTATGTATTGGGCAAGACAGATACTTCTGTCCACAATAATTTTTGCTAGGATTGTAGGTTGTGTCCAACCTCGTTCCCAGGGCTTCAGTGTGGGACGAGGCGAGACACGAGGAAGCCCTGGTCCGGGCCGGTCACTTTTGCATTCTGATTGGCTAACACCATATTGTCTAAAAATAACTAAATTGACGGTTGACAATAACAAATTACAATACAATTCAACATTTGTATTTTTATGATTCTTGTGTGTACGAGTATGCTTTGCAAAATAATCTTTCAAAGTAAGACGTTTTCCCGACTGCACGATTTACTTTCGCCTCGGCCGGTTACAAAACTCAAAAGCCGTGTCGAAGTGAGCTGTGATGTTTCCTGACAAAACAAGAAATGTCTACTATTATTTAAGTTTTCCTTATAGCCCTTATACAGTATTTATTAGTGCAGATGTCTGATGAAATACTACGCGTATTGCATTGTAGTAATATTTTAATTTACAATATTTTGTACTGACAAATAAAAGCAAGACAAACAATTAAATGAAACTACTAAATTAATTTAGGCCCTGTTTACTTAATAGCTCTACGCCTAGGCCGATGTAGTCTACAAGATTCGCACGCCACCCAGTTTTTCAGTTTCAGAATACGCCGAATACTTGAAAATTGCGACTATACGATAAAATAAAACAAAGATTGTGAAGGGTATAAAATTTGTAGGCAAGCATTGCTCCTGAACGGCAAGTGTTGGTGTCCGGCGAAACAAGCGAACCGTATATTCCTGTACAGCGTAAACAGGTTACGCGAGGTTTTATATTTGTGTTTATTTAATATATTGAACTAAGTCAGATCTATAAGAGCATATTTAAACTAAATATTAATTATAGCAATAGCCATATTGTTCAAAACGAGAGAAAGGAAATTTCGTGTGAATCACCACTTGCATGGAGACGCCTAGATGCACTTGGATGCAAAGCTTTGCCTGTAGTTGAAAATCTCCAGAAATATCGGTATATCTTAGAAAACATAGACGGGATCTTCATAGATTTTAGCTGATTCGTGTCAAACTTCGCTCTACACATAAATAATATCGATTGAGAAGTCTTTTGGCTATTTATTTGTTTCGAAGACTTGTATATTTCCTTAAAGAATATCTCGCCACTCCTTGACGAGTAGCTGTCAAATACTGCCATTTTTTGACGTCACGTGACCGGACCGGACCAGGGCTTCCTCGTGTCTCGCCTCGTCCCACACTGAAGCCCTGGGAACGAGGTTGGGTTGTGTCCGCTGTTTTTAGTGTATCATGATTTCTTTCTATTCTAGTATGCTGTGCCAGGAGTTCTCTGTATTGTGGCAGGTGCAACCAAAAATGGCATTGTGGTAAGGGATAGTTGTCTTAGATTCAGATACTGGGTTCAAAAACTGAATGAGGGTCTCCCAGGGGTTTTTGGGGGACAAGGCATATTTTGCAATGGGAACAAAGTCGAAAAGATCACCAGGGCCCTCAAATTTGTTCAAAATGCCCTTTTTTGTGATGAAAAGTTCCCTTTTTGTACAAGCTATATACAAACTCGAGCCGAAGGCGAGTATATGCGATACAACACGGACTAAATGGCTTGTGAAACGTCTTGATGAGAACATTTGTGTTCTTCTACAATTTAAAATAAATTCATGATATTTGGTGAGAAAATTGAACTTAAAGTTTATGTATATCAGCATGATTCTGTATCAGATATACAAACTCCTTCACGCTCATGATTTCTTTTCTGTTTTCTTCATGAATTATTATTAATGCGTTTCACAACTATTTTTCAAATCGATCTATAACGTTTAATTCTTTCACTCTAGATGGGTTTTGCTTTGTTTTTCAACATCATTGCTGTGATCATTTCGACCGCTGCTTCGATCGTTTTGATCATAATTACTGTTGTCATGAAGAAATTCACGGGTGATTACCGGGACCACTGCCGTAATACTTTCGCTGATACATGCAGATGCACTTATTATGGTGATGATCGTTCTACATACGATGAGGATCATGTAACATGTAAGTAAAGGTTGGCTTTCATTGCTAGGCGACAATTGCCGACGCAATTTTCCGTTTCGTAAACCGCCAGGGTCACCAGTAACAATCAATGTCACCAATTTCAGCGTGCGTCATCCATATTATTATATCTATGACGTCATCACATATGGCGAATATGAAATGAGATTCCATTTCCTCAACCTCAGGGTCAAAGACAGACAAGATTATTTAATCCCAACTCGCACAAATATAAATTCCGACATACAAGACGTCAACCTATGAAAAATCTTACAAAATCCGAACATCAAGAATATGGAACACACTACCTAATTCTATTACATCCAAAGACCGAACATTTTCAGAATTCAAGAATCTTCTTTTTAAAGGTGATCTACAGTCCGTATGTAAACAAAGCCTTTGTTTACATTTTTGTGTCCAAAATATTGAACTTTATTCGACAACTATTTATATTTTCAAGCTTCTAGAGTATAATAAATGATCAAGAAACAACAATCAAGCTTTTCAAGAACTCAAAACATAGTTAAACTGTTTGTATCATAAAAAGTGGGCTCATTTGTGCACATGCGCAGATCGGACTGTAGATCACCTCTATATTTTAGCATTAGAAAATACATACGATGTTGAGGATCCCCGGACATGGAAAAGTGTGTGTATAAAATGTAATTCCGCTCGAAGTTTAATGAACTCTCCATTGACATGCTGCTTTTAGACAAATGTAATGACTGTTGTCCAAGTATTGTCTGTTGTGTGTGTTTAGTATACCTTGTAAATTGTTTCTGTATAACTAGTTTTTGGGGCCGCTGTAATTGGCAATAGCTGTTGTGGTTTCCCAGCCAATGAATGTATAAGTATGATGGCAAAGTAAATAAATAAATAAATAAATAAATAAATAAATATCTACCACGCAAAACGCGCGTTTATTTAACAAATATAAAACTTTTCCGTGTTGATATACAGTTATATCAACACGAGTGGAAATTGGGAAAACGAGAAATTGTGTGGAAACACGACGCCCGAAGGGTAGGCTCGATCCAGCCGTTGGGTACCCGATGGGCGGAGTGTTTTCACACAATTTCGAGTTTTTCCAATTTCCACGAGTGTTGATATAACTATATATCAATACGGAAAAATATTTTATATTTGTTTTATAATATAGCACAAAGAAATATAAAGAAAGAAGTTTTCCGACGTTTCTATGTTGACATTGAGTTATATCAACACGGTTCTTAGCCAGTCAGCGTTCAGAATTTACAAATGCTATATTATAAATATGATTTAAACGCGCGTCCCAACGTGGTTAACACGAACTCGACAGACACAAAGAATAGGAGATCACGATGTGGAGTTAGGCGATACTTAAAAATCGTATCGTGATTATCGTTTAGAAACTTAAAATCCTGCATTAAGGACAGCCGCTTACTTAAGTGTATAGAACGCTTGCTCATGACGTTAGACTCTTTTGTCCGGAACACCAACATGGCCGCCATGGCTTTTGTTGAGTTGGTCCCTGGGGAATGAGTGCAAACGTTCTATAAGTGTGTTAACCATCTTTACTTCGGAGCATATATCGCTGTAGATTCGTGTTTGTTTATGATTTAAATTAAAGTGGCGGTTAAGTTTGTTCTGCTTGTGCGCAGGTTTCTTTGCATAATTTGTGTCAAAACATTTTCTTTCAGGGAACATGAAATGCGGTGACCTCGACACAGTCTATTCTCTCTTCGTTGCGATACTGGTTGCGTATATTATCCTCGCTGTGACGTCCTTCACTTCATCAATCTTTGGCTGTCTGGGTACTTGCTGCGCCCCTGTTGTAAGTATATACTTTATGTGCTATGATTAACAGTTACTTTAGCACCTTGGATGCTAGCCTGCCACGCAGGCCCTCAATTTTATGGGGGGCTGATTTGCAAATCAGGCCCCCATAAAATTGAGGGCCTGCGTGGCAGGCTACTTGGGTGCCAATGGTTCTTTCCCGCTCATAATGGTGTATCACGAGGGATACGTGAGGATGTAGAAAGTTAAATTCTTAAGGCGAAACAAATTATACCAGCGGTCTTGGTTACATCACTTACATGGTCGTTCGATGCATGTTCATGGCCAGAAATCATGGACATAGTTTATTCTACTTCCTTAGTAATTTGCATATATCACCTTGAAATATGGCTTCAACAGTAAACAGTGAATTGTATAACGCGACGTTGTTGATCGCAAAATCTGAGAATAACGCAGATCGTTTGCAACTTGACTCAGAAGTCTGTCGAAGTATTTAGTGTAATGTTGGCTTAGTTTCAGTTACTATACCTATTCTGCATTTTCAATATTTATATATACAGAGGTTAATTTTTACGACACTTCACTTGTCTATTTCAATAACTCTATAAACGAATACCACACTACTGCCACTAGGAACAAACGAAAATGCAGAATAGGTAGTAACGTACACCAGACAAACACTACATTAAATATTTCTACAAACTATATATGTTCTGCAACCAGCAATTGAGGCAAACACACCCTTTCGATAATTACGTCACAAGTCACAACTACACTGTTTTCAACTTAGGACCATCTTAAATGGAAAGGATTTCAAGTTTCAGGATGTATTCGCACTGCTTGTTCCCAGCTTGTTCGACAACTTGCTACAAGGTTGTTGAGCTCGACAGACTTGTTACAGGTCATGACCTGGAGCCTCGTTTCGTGTTAATGCTTATTTCCACATTTATTGGTCAAAATAAAGAATTATTTTTCATGCATGTGTTGGAGAAGGATGTTCTGCTTCTCTGTGCATAGCCCATGAGAAAAAAATTGAAATCCTTTCCATTTTAATAAGGTGGTTCTAAGCTGAAAACAATGTAGTTGTGACGTAATTATCGAAAAGGTGTATTGCAACCGGCCTACCGTATTCTCTGAGTTTAAGATTTGCAGCATCCCCGTAATATAGCCTAATATAATTAGCGTTTCTCACGAAGACCAAATTCGCCATTTTTGGGGTACTTTATTGAAAATGACGTGAAAAATCTAAGCGATGTGAAAACATTTTTTTCAAATATTTAACTGCAAATTAACTTATAATCATTATACTCACAATGGACCTATACCTTATAAACAAAAAGTTGATCTAGACAAAAATTTCATCACGGCTTGAAAGAGCATCACGAAATTAGTAATATTCCGAAGTTTCGTTGCGAAATGTTGTAAAATGTGGATACTATATATAGCCCTGCGAAGTTTGCCGTTTTACATTGATACTTCTTTCAGAGAAATTGATACTTTTTTTCAGAAAGCGGTATCAATTTCCCGTGGGTAATACAAAATGACTGAAAAACGGCAAACTTCGCAGGGCTATATTATCCACATTTTACAACATTTTGCAACGAAACTTCGGAATGTTACTAATTTTGTGACTTGTTGAGATCAAAATTTTGGTTATTAGGTAATAGGTCCATTACAGTTATACAAATCCCTTAAGGCCATGTTACACGGTGCAATTTTTCTTGCAACTTGCAATGCAATTCTACTCTTGAGAGATGTTAATTAGTGAAATCAGTGAAGAATTTTTGATATGTTGAAAAAACATCAGCGGAGTGTAACGAAGACTCGTATTTGGCAATTTTACGTCTCTCAAGAGTAGAATTGCATTGCAAGTTGCAAGAAAAATTGCACCGTGTAACATGGCCTTTATTCACTGCGTGCAATCTCAGATTTGGAAAAGACCGTACCTCAAAAATTGGGGACGTGAAAAGGCTAATTTACTGTTACACACGTAAAAACGCGCAAGTTGTAACAAACCTACAGCAGACTTGTAGCAATGCTGTTCCAACAACTTGTCAACAGGATGTATTCGCACTGCTTGACGCTTGTTCCCAGCTTGTTTGACAACTTGCTATATTGTTGAGCTCAACAGACTTGTTACAGGTTGTTCCAAGAACTTGTTACGCCAGAGTATATGCCCGTTCGCAGGTTAGGTGCTGGGCATGACTTTGCTTTTCTTCTTATCGCGTGATTTTCTAGGACCCGATTGTGGTGGTAACCGCTGGAGTTCCAGTTCATACCGGTGGCACAATTGTTGTCTCATCCAATCAATCCTCAATGATGCATTCCGGTTATCCAGGGCCCATGGCGCCCGCCTATGGTCACATGCACCCCCCTGCCTATGGCCATGAAGACAAATCTGGCCTGGTCCAAAACATGGCTATTTGAAGCGCAAATCAGCGACGCCATTTATTATCTTACTGATTTTTCTGATTTATACTTGATATCATTATATACGTAATTTAGATGGAGGTGATGTAGTCTATTCAGTTCTACAGAGAACGAAAAATTTCCGTACTGGTATTATAATACTGTATTTGTATTCTTGAATGTAATCTTTACTATAAACAAGCTATGACATGGTAAAACTAATGCCTTGTTTACACTGCACGAGCCTAAGCCTGGCCTGGGCCGACCTTTGGACTAGATTTTTGTAGTGTATAAACGCACTTCGGCTTAGGCTCGTAGTGTAAGTACTGTTTTGGAAATGGTTTAATTAAGTGTAAACGTTTTAGTCGAGTCAACTTTTATGTATCTTCGTTTTGGAAATATATTAAACCGATAAACTTCTACACTCTTTAATACTGTTTTTAAATTGAATGTAGTCCATCAAAAACATTTGCATTTTCTCATAGCAATAATGTACTATGGACTGCAGAGCGATTTTACTATTGGGGGCGGAGGGACTGGTGTTTAGATGAATTGCGGTCCTGGTCTGGGGGGGGGGTCTGGGTGCATCCCCCCCCAGAAAATTACAGCCTGTAGCTGAAAATTTCTGAAAAGTGGGATTATTCGCGCCAGCAAACTATTCGGGTTCGATTCCCACCGTGGCCAAGCAATTAACTTTTCAGCTTGCCCGGTGTGGATGCACACTCAGAGTTACATCACAAACATAATATAACGCGACTAGTCCAATATAACGACCAGCTGAAAAATCACCCCCAAACTGACGTTTTGCTTGACATATGTTTTTATGAAAACATTAGAATTTTTCATAATAACAGCGAAAAGCAATCTAGTAATCAAATTAGTATAGGCAACTGCCAAATAACAACTGCAGGTGGTATATTTCTTGAAATTTGAGAATCTAATTTTTTGCCTTGAAATTTGAGAACCTGCATGGCTACTTAGCAATTCAAATTTTGACAAAATTAATATAGTGTGATTGCGTTTTCACTTTTCACCAAGCCGAGACTCGTTGAAAGCACATAACGGTGCTATTTTTAAGGATTTTCTTGAACGAAAACGCAAGAGCGTTGAACAGAATTTGTCAAGATGGTGATGTCAAGAAATACAGCTGTTGGGTCGTTAATATGTGGCGCTATTATGGTTTGTTTTGCTGTTGTTGCCGTCATATGTGGCGCAATTTCATTTCACAAGCTGTCCGACAAAGCTGCTACCTCGGCCGGGCTCTGGTCAATCTATGTAAGTTTTTATTTATTTTAAAATAAACAAGGGTTGCAACTACCTGAAAAATATATATACAAAGCGAAAATTCCGCGACGTTTCGAGCGAAGTGATGTTAATCATGTTATGGGGGCTGTTTAACTTCGACAGGAAGTTTGTTATCTTAAGAGTTAAGTATCTTGCTTTTCATATAGACTAGAGTCCAGTACTAGAGATATATTGAAACTCTATATTTGAGATATATCGACATCTTCTACTCTGTTCACAGTATCGTATATCTATATATTGACACAATTTAGTGTATTTTTGCTGCCATACGTTGTTTGTTTATTATTAATTTTTCGTGTAATGTACGTTCCTGGCGGGCAAATACCGTTTATCCAACGTTGAATCAACGTCGGATATGATCACCCAGGTCCACCCAGAAGTTGGATAGACGTTGAAAAAAGATTGAAAATGTAAATTGGATCAACGTTACTCTTTTGACGTTGATTAATGCAACATTGAGTTAGGTTGCCAATCTCGTTATTAACCATAATTCAACGTTGAATCCACGTTGAAACAACGTTGAGTCAGTATGGTTGAGATTACTTCACAAGTTGATGTCGTTTACTCAACCATGAATGAACGCTGATTCAACGTTTGTTATAGCTGCTGTTGATACAACGTTTGTAAAACAACATCAGAGCAACGTTGATAAATTAGGTTGTCGACGTCGCAACCTTTTTTCTACCAACTTCGACGTTGAAAGTTCAACAACGCCGTGTGCCCGGTGGGATTAATAATAGTTGATATATGCAAAACGAGGGGGAAATATATACTCCTGTGGCCGGTTGTTCGTAGCCCGTTTAGGCTAAATGGTGGATAAGTCGAAAATATTGATTAAGTTTATGCATTCATCAAGTAACCAAACTAAAATGTTTCAACTCATTGAGTAGAACAATTCTGTTTGCAACTATATATTTAGTGCATGAGATTTATAAGTTCGGTCATTTATAAAATGTGTGAATCTGTTATTTATTTTTGACTTATCCGCCGTTTAAGCTAAACGGCCTTCGAACAACCCGCGGCCCTGCAAAATGATTGGTTGGCAAAGGAATTTGCCCCGAAAACATTGGGTGGGTACCTATACTACTAGTCTTACCACTTGCGTACTTCTAACCAACGAGTTTTGCCTCGATAAAAGTGTTTTTGTTTGTGAAATTGTATGAATTTTTTTATTAAATAAAGTATTAAATAAATAATCGATCATTCACTGACTGACATCACGCCAAAAAGAAAGCTAATCCCTCTCTTTCTCTGCAAATAAATTGACACTCATACACCTTTGATATATTAGAACTGAAAGATAAATTAGTGCAACGCGTTAATAATTCATGCATGGGGAAAAGACGAAGAAAATCTTTATACCTCGTATACACACCGTCTTTTTAATAGTTTTTTAAAGTTATGTAATGAAGTAGCGTTTTTTAGTTCACGTTCTAGATTGTTAAAGTCTATAGACGCTTGATACGTAAACATAAATTTTAGCTTTGATTTTCTCGGATAAGTAAAAAATGCCCATGGCTGCTTTAAAGCACATTTGAACTTGAATTTGCGCTCAAAGCAACACTCATGACTGATTTCTACGAAAACGAAGACATGATGCTATTTTGCCTGCCCAGGTGTATTTGCGTGTACAATACTATGTTTTACATAAATATTTTTTCGATCTATAAACAACATTAGGCGACTTAAAAATGCCTTTTTGTGGTTGTAACTTTTCTTCAAACCTCGTTCTAAAATACGTGAAATAGCGTTCTAATGAATCTAGAAATTCAAAATTTTCCTCGCGCCTACGGCGCTCACATTCGAAATCCATAAAATACCCCCCCCCCCCCTCCGAAAGTTTAGACCACTGCAAAAGTTCTGAAAAACCACAGTTAAAACTGAACGTTTGTTTAAACTCTTGGAATACTATCCCCGTCTTACCGTCTATGCGCTTTAAATAGTTGGCTTACCAAACACAAATACTACAAAAGTCGGTCACAGAACATAGGACACCCCCCCCCCAATTTTTTTTCGAATGTGCGCCCCTGGTCCGTGCTTTATCAGATATAAGGCACTCGACTGTCGCCTCGTGTTTTATATAGTACAATAAAGCACTCCTACTTGTGTTTTAAATAGTACAAAATACGGTTTAGCTTTTGAATAGCTGTAAATAACTCTGTTGACTCAGGTTTTTTAATTTTATATTTGTGTATAGCGGCCGTTGAGGAAAGCATCTTAGGTGACATGGTTTATAACGTCTTTAAAAAAAGTCGCTGCTTTTGACCCAAAAAGAGGGAAAAGCCTGAGAACAAGGTTGACCTTGACTATCTGTTTATTCTAGGTCTTTGTGCCAGGAATTTTCAGTATTGTGGCAGGAGCAAAAAAGAATGGCATTGTGGTAAGCTTTAATATACTTTTGTTGTGCCAAAGTGCTCTAGTTCTGCACCCCACCCCTAAAGAGGCTCTTTATTACTGCTCGCATGCTACACAGACTTGTTGCAAGGTTGTTCCAACAAGTCTGACATAGTCATGTTATAACAATATTGTTACACTGAACCTTGTGTGATCAATCAACCTTGTAACATTCTCGTTATATCAGACTTGACAGAACAACCTTGTAACAAGCCTGATAATGCCATCAAGTTTGTTACTTTGTTACAAGTTGTTAACAGCTCGTTTCAAACTTGTTGCAACAACTGGGAACAAGCAGTGCGAACACAACTTGTCGACAGCTTGTGAACAGATTTGTAACAACTTGTTTGCAGACCTGTAACAACTTGTGTGTGTAGTTTATAGAAACATACGGATGCAGTAGAATAGAACAAACGTAAATAGGCATTAGAATTATGTGTGACAGTTATTTACTCGTGTAGATGATTCTAAAGCTTAGTTACGTTTGTTCTATGTCTCGGTAAACTAGAGCAATATATAGTAACTGGGTATAAACTTAACAAATATAATTGGGTATATATACTATAAACTTAACAAACGTTTGCCAAATTTGTCTGTTAAACATAAAATGTGAACAACTGTTAATTAAATTCTTCATTCTTTTATTTTATTCCAGATGGGTTTCGCTTTGTTTTTCAACGTCGTTGCTGCGATAATTTCGGCTGTTGCTTCGATAATTTTGATCGTATTTATTGCTACGTTGAATGAAGTCCTGGATGCCAATAACTGCTATATGAGTTATGGCAGTTGCGTCTGTATATCTCATCATTACACCGTAACTACTACCACATGTAAGTAATGCTGGCCCGGTTATGCCGCATACAGTTTAGTCTACAGCCGAGCAGGTTTTCCTTGATATACCAGGGACGTATCGAAGTATCTGAAGTTGGGGGGGGGGGGGTCGGATTTTGAACTTCAATGTTAAAAATCTACCTGAAGTGTAATAATTATACAAAACAATAGATACTCTAGCCTGCGAATACAGACGCCTCACACCGATGTGAGGCGTCTGTATTCGCAGGCTATAGATACTCCGAAAATTGAAAGCATTTTGAAAAATTTATTTCGACGTTTCGACTAAGCTATAGTCATCATCAGGAAATGAATGATATTCATTTCCTGATGATTATCATTCATATTGATTATTATTCATATTATCAATATATATGAATATCATTCATTTCCTGATGATGACTATAGCTTAGTCGAAACGTCGAAATAAATTTTTCAAAATGCTTTCAATTTTCGGAGTATCTATTGTTTTGTATTTTATCAAAATACTCAGTGGTTCCCGTAATTTGTGTAATAATTATAGTAAAGCTTTTTTGGATTGATTTGCATTGTCATACTAAGTTTCGGAAGTAAAGGGGGGGGGGGGGATCTGGGGGTTCTCCCCCAGAAAATTTGAAGCTCTAGGACTGCGTTTCTGGCCGAGCAAATTCGCAAACGAATTGGATGTAAATTGACAGTATTTTACAAAAATGGTTATCATTTCACCGCTTTATTACGCAAATTTTATCTGAAAATGTCAAAATTTTAACTTGACTTTTACCTGATTTTTGCTGACTTTCACAGTTGGGAGGAGGGGGGTGTGTTCCCCCCCCCCCGGTTGCTAAGTTTCACAGCTATCTTCCCTTCGATAGGCTATGACTTGAGTGACATTCGTGATTATTTTTACGGCTTTTCAAGCGTATTAATTTCAAAATTCTGATTGAACACGATTAGGAGAATGTATTTTCCAAAAGCGTAAAAAAGCCGACCAATGCAAATGTTTGCCACTTTGATACACACACTCAAACTATCTTTTCTTTCCCAAATTTATGCAGACAGATAATCTGTCACTTGTATAAAACAAGCCAATTTTTACTTTCGTGTAGGGAACGTGAAATGCAGTGAACTTGGCGTACTTCATTCACTCACGAGTGTGTTGCTTGCTGTGTATCTTATCCTGCTTGTCGTATGCTTCACTGCATCAATCTTTGGCTGCATCGGTACCTGCTGTGCTCCTCCTGTGAGTGTAACTTTAATTTCATAGTTGCTATACAGGGTGTCTCAAAAAAACCCAAAATCATTGAAATAACGTATTGTTCGAATTTCAATGCCGTAACACAAAGGATTTTGACAGGGTGATTAATTTGTTTTAAAAATTAAAATATCTTTGTAAAGTGAACGTTTGTTTGCTCATGGGAATTTAAAAATGCTTCGTAAATTGTAATATGCGTAATATGCATTCGTGGGTTTAGTACTTTATGCCTGACATAACAAGTTTACGCTGAGTATTACCATTCATTATAGCAGTTATGTCAATCTTTTATGCACTCGTGGGATTAACTTAGTGCTAGGGCATTGAATATCGAACAATACGTCAATTTCAATGATTTTGGTTTTTTTTGAGACACCCTGTACAGTGTGTATCAAAATAATTCGAATCCAAATTTGACAGACTGCTGTTTATAAAATACTAGCTATTAGGTTTCCGATTATATCGTTCTTATATCAATAAGATCAAAAATGACCAAGAAATCGTGTGTTAAAACTGGTTGCTCGAAATCAAATTTTTCCGCCGATGGGAATTCGAAGTGAGACGTACAAACAAAAGATAATGCAAATTTAATTAATCAACAAACTGTTATGTAGCAAAATTTACATAAATTCGTGTTCATTTGAAGAGATTTAAGCTCCTATGCCTTCAACATGTTGAACGAGAAGAAATTCGCGTTAAATTTGCAATTTAGTTTTCAGTGATGATTAGCATTTCAATCAAAGCCTTGTGGGACTAACTTTGAAAGAAAAAATGTCCAATTCCCATCGGCGGAAAATTGTGATTTTTATGGACTTTTTTTGTCAAAGCAATACTCCTTCATTTTCCAACTAAATTACGCGTACAACATGTCATTTGAAAGGTAAATAAATGAACTTAACAATGGTGTAAAAACCAACCGAATTTGTCAAATATATTCTGCGTTATTACACGCCAAATTTGGATTCGAATTATTTTGATACACACTGTAGTTGTGGGGGGCAGGAGGGGCAGCCGCCCCCCCCGTTGCCCTTTACCAGAAGGGGCAAGGGGGGCAAAGGTGCCCTTTCAATTTAAAGGATCGCCTTGGCGAAATAGCGAAATGATAGAAATGTTAGTGCAATTCTTTTACGAATTTGCTTCAGAAAACGCAAGAAATGCAGTCGTCGAGCTTCAAGAATAGCACAATCGCCTGGCGGAGAACCCGCTCACACCCCTATCATCCAATAAATAGAAAACATGATTAGGCAAAGTTCAACTCCCGATGTTTTGCAAACATCTCTTAGTATATATCAATTCAAAAGTGCCCTTTCACGAAAATCTGCCCCCCTTGCCTTCACATCGTTCCGGCATCCCTGAGTAAACGTTTGGATAAATGAAAAACAAAACAAAACAACGCAAAGGTTGGGTAATAAAAAAATGTTGTTATTTCCAAAGCATGACTCACTCAAATATTGAAAACTAAAAAGCAATGTCAACAGTCATATGTCAATACAATATGTAAATCAATCAGAGTCACTATCTTCATCATTTTCCGATTTGTCCGCAGAAGGCAAATGGTGTTTCCCAAGAAAGCACGTAATGTGCAGACAACATGAAATTTTAAGACTGCAGAAAATTGCACAAGCAGTTACAGGGACGCCGGAACGATAATAGGGCAAAGGGGGGCGGACGCACACCAAGGGCACCTTTACTGAAAATTTTTTTGGCGACATCCCCCCCCCCCGTCGCCAAAAAAATTTCGGTCAGTGTACCATTTTAGGGGTCAAAATTTTTTTCCCGACATACAAAAATTTTCCGTGAAGCCAAAAATTTTTCCGGATATCTTAAATTTTCGCCATTTCTTCAAAATATTTTTCTAAATTCCAAAAATTTCCCAAAATTTTTATAAATATAAACTATAAATTACCTGAATCTCGTGATTTTCCTACAAAAAGCATCGTTGGAAATGTGATTTATCACGTATTATTTTACAACTAAAAGGGCACTTCTGCCCTCCCTGCCCCCCCTAGCAAAAGGCAAGGGGGGCAGCCGCCCCCCCTGCCCCCCCAGTTCCGGCGTCCCTGAGCAGTTATCAAACTCATGTCACAGAAGTGGTAAAGGACATGTGTGACAATTAAAATGGTATCCTTTTGTAAAGTTTTTGGCCAGGGATGTGTATTTATTTTTTTAATTGCTATTTGAAGTTGGGTAAAGATTTTTTTACTTTTTAATGGCTGGATAAGCAAAATTTTTGCCCACCATAAATGATGACTGATCTATATCCCTAAGAAAACTCTAGAATATAGATTCTCTGAAATGGCATTTCCTGCGTTCTGAGGAAGATTTGGCTGTATTATTTAATAGTTGTTACTTGTGTCACAGATTATAATTAAGTGTCAAAATAAAGTTCTTTAAACCCAGTATCTCAATCACGAAACAGAGGGGGGGAAATTAAGTTCCCATTAATGGGTTTTGAATGGTTTTTAAAGATTTACCATGTGTACTATCAATGTAAAAACTGAAGTCTTACCATTACTGGTTATTATAGATTTTCCATGTGGTAAATTAGTAAAAACCATAATATTTACCATTAATGGTATTTTCCTGTGCACAGGAAAAAAATAAAGTACCAATAATGGTAAGAATTCAGTTTTTACATTCAAAAATGAATGGAAAGTTCAATTTTTATCCTGTATTCCTGTGAAAACGAGACTTTTTATACCCAAACGGTTGTGTTGCTTTATTATTCAATTTGAAATCAGACTGATCTACTATTTATCACGTGATCTTCTAGGATCCAATTGTGGTCGTTACAACCGGAGTTCCGTTTCAAGTCAGTCGCGGTGCGGTGATTCTCTCCTCCAATCGATCCACAATGAGTGCTGTTTACTCAGGTCAGGTCATGCCTGCTGCCTATGTCCAGCCCCCAGCCTATGGTCAGGCCCAGCTGCCCCTTGCCTATGGCGACATCCAACCACCCGCATACGAGACCAAGAGTGGTGAAAACATGGCGGCTACTTGAAGCAGACCACATTACTCTGCGACAGTCTGTTTTATTGTTTACACTTAATTTGTAGAAATGTTAGGCTCTTCACGAAGCTATAGGAGCAGGTTTTCTGATTGCTTGTTTATAAAAATGAGACTCACTAAAACTAAAACTAAAACGAAACATGAAGATCTGCTAGGAAGGTGTGTGTGTGGGGAGCTATCTTGTTCCCATGTACTCTTGGTCATGGAAATGTTTCTTTTCCGGGATCCCACAAATATTTCACCACGTTTCCATGTTCGACAGGCTCGGGCCTTTTGTTCCCCAAGCTTACATGTCCCTATGTGTTCCTTTTTTGACTTTGTGTTCTTTTTTTTGAAGTTTAACGAGTCGCAAACACGTATTGCTTAGGGACCGGTCATTATTTATGGTGGGGGGTGGCACCGAAGAGAAATGTTTTTCCTGGTAAAAATTTTGCTGACCCAACCATTAAAAAGCAAAAAATTTGATTACCCAACCTCAAATATCAATTAAAAAATAAATACCCACCCCTGGCCAAAACCTTTACAAAAGAATACCATTCAGTTGTCACACATGTCCTTTACCACTTCTGTGACACAAGTTTGATAACTAAACTTTCCGGTTGTATGTACATGTACTTTCTTTGGAGACACCATTTGTCTCCCAACAAATCGGAAAATGATCAAGATAGTGACTCTGATTGATTCACATATTGTATTGACATATGACTGTTGACATTGCTTTTCAATTTCCAATATTTAAGTGAGTCATGCTTTGGAAATGACAATAACTTTTTATTACCCAACCCTTGAGTTGTTTTGTTTTTCATTTACCCAACCTTTTAGTTACTCAAAATTTAGTTTACCCAACCCTTTTCTCTTCGGTGCCAACCCCCGCCATAAATAATGACCGGTCCCTTATTTTAGTGTACAGAAGCCAACCACAACGCCTGTCCATTTTAGCTTCATCTTTACCGCAAGGATTTTATATAGTTTAATAATTATTGAAAATATTGGATGTACAGTAGTTGGACTGTACAGTAGTTGGATTGTACATGTAATTGTAATATAGTTTGTAAAAGAAATATTAAATGTGCCAAATTGTCATATAAAACATAATTTTATTTGGAAGTGTCCATTCTCGGTAGGGCTATTAATAAACTTCTATTTAACATGAAGTAATGGCAAACAAACAACAAAAATCGCGGTCTCAGTAATCGAAATTTTCAAGATGGCGCTGGAAGTTGAAAGTGCGGAGTAAGTTTTTGTAGATTATAAAGTAATTTCTTTTCCTTTCTGTGTAGGTTTTTTTTACAAAACTTACTCGATTGTCTTGCTGTATCTTTCTAGTGTCGTAAGGTTAATTGAACAATATTTGAAAGAGAATAATCTGCCAAGAACCTTGGCTGTTTTGCAGGTAAGGTGATTGGAAATATTTTGAAATAATTGAATTAATATATTATTAAATTAAACATGCAGGGAAATTTTACATTTTGCCGTACCCGAGTAATCACTGAATACACGCAAGTACTGTTACTAGTAAAATATTTATACAAGTAATGCTGTCAAATACATCATACATGTTCACGTTTTGTAGGCAGGCAAATGTTTTCGAAAAGCTCTGGAGATTGGCCGTCGTGGCCGAGGGCCAGAGAGAGCTTACTTGTGCTTTGCACTGTTGAATCGGTTTTCACTCGTTTCCCACCATCAAACTGATGTTATGTCATTTTCTCAATGTTGATTCTTTTTGGATTTTCTCCAGACTGCAGAGTTGGTCAGAGTCACCCAGAAATGTTTTTTAGTGAAGAGTTTTAGCGCCCCTGGGAAGTGCTTGCTCCCAAGATCTCGCCGGAAACCTGCCCTACTCTGCAGTCTGGGATTTCCTTGATTAATTTTGTCGGGGTTAGGGTTGGGGTTACGGTAGGGTTTGCATTAGTGACATAGCCTTTTAACACATTTTGGAAAGTTACAAACTAATCTTGTGCAGGAAGAACTCTGAATACAGTCGACAGCATTGAGTTTTATGAACAGGTAGGAAAAACTCGGTTTGAAAGCTCAGTAGAAGTGGACTCTGACTGTCCTGAGTTCAGATGATGAATTATTGTGTTATTTTTTGTATGCTCAATAATGAATAATGATAATGTGGACCGTGCACCCAAGTGCACTTGTGAAGAGCCAGATGGGAAACTAAAATCTCATTTGGAGTTACCTTACACATTTTATTCAGATTGTGCTTGAATTAATTGAGCTTCGTGAACTTTGTGCAGCGAAATCATTACTTCTTCAGACAGACCCAATGATTACGTTAAAATCACAACAACCTGATAGATAAGCGTTAGTTAAGTTGTGTTGTTTTTCTCGCAGGCATACCCAGAGGGAAGTAGTAAAGAACGAAGAAGAGCTGCAATTGCCCAAGGTATTGCCTTAGAAAGTTAGTAGGAAATTAATCGGTAGAAGCCGATAATCGGCAACTTTCAAGCAGATCGGTTATCGGCCAATCACATCGACATATATTGGCATGTATCGGCCGTCCAATAAATATAATTTTGGGGCCGATTGTATAAAACTCTTAACTGCTTTTTAACTATCCATTTTGTAGTTAAATTGTAGTTAACTTTAACCACGCATTTAAGTCGGTTGTATAAAATGTAGTTAGCCAAGGGTATCGTCTAAATTTAACTTCTAAAAACGTAGTTAAAAATGGCGCTTGTGTAGGAGTGAACAACATTTTTCAGTAAAACAATAATGAAAAGCAATGCATTGCTTAGCTGTGATTTTCTATCGCTATCATCCCTGTTATAGTTCACATTAGGGCCATTTATACGGGACAAAATAAGTCGCGACTTACATAAGATGCGTCTTATATAAGCAGAGTTATCGCATAAATAGTTGTTCTCTATGGCTTTATTCTTATTTACTTGCTATAGTTATACTGTTGTTTCGTTTGTTTTTGTTTTAATATGCAAAGCTAATAATTTTACGTTGTTTCAAGTTTCGGGCATGTGTAGTTAGAATTTTTGTCCAAAATTTCTTATTTAAGACGCGACTTAAATAAGAACAGCTAAAAGTCCTGTTCTTATGTAAGACGCGTCTTATCCAAGACGCGTCTTACATAAGAATGTTGTACCTTTTATACGACAAACTCGCGTCTTATGTAAGTCGCGTCTTATGTAAGTCGCGTCTTATTTTGTTTCGTATAAATGGCCCTATTGTCCGAGTATGGCTAGTTTATAATTTATGGCTAGTTTATAATTTATGGCTAGTTTATAATTTATGGCTAGTTTATAATTTATGGCTAGTTAAATAATTTATGGCTAGTTTATAATTTATGGCTAGTTTACATTGTTCAGTTACATAGTATCTTTGAAGCGGAATTTTTTGGTGGTATTTTCGTATTTCTACTGCAAATACTGGCGGAGTTCGTTAATATATGGAATTGAGTTGACAACCTCCGCCTTTATAAAATAGCCGGACTTCGGCATTAAAAACAGCCGTTCTGAGCATGCGCTGCGCCAATTATCCAATCAGAAACTAGAATTTCTTGTATAAAATAGTATTGCATATCCCGCCATATGAAAATCAGCGGAACACGAGACATGCGATTACACGAATTGCGTGAGTAAGCAATCAATTGCGTGGAAATTGGCTAATTTTGGGTTTCAGAGGTCAAAGAGCAGACAGCAACATTGAAAAATGATCATAATTATATAAATTTTCAGAATGAGAAAAGCTGTGAATTTGGCTTCACTATAAAACCATGGATAATAAAATAAATGGATAGGAAACTAGCTGACGTGACCTAATGTTTTCAATGGGCTGATGGCGTGGATGGATGTCCCAACCTAGTTGAAAACCAAATTCTCAAAAACGGCATGTTTAGCAATATAAATACAGCTAAACAATTTAGTCAAATAGCAAATAAATATAACCACGCCATTCCACGATGAAAACTCTAAGTATTCCCAGTCAATTTTAGCAAATATTTCAAGCACTAAACAGTAAAAAATACATCACAAATTTCGTTAAAATTTGTGACGCCAATTTCGTAGCTACAAATGTAAAAAAATACAAAACAAAGACGAAAAACATTTACCTTGAATACTTTGTCGTGGCTTAGGCATGTTTTTAAGACAATTAGACCAGTTTATGCTTCAATATCACCCTTTTAAAGTGGAAAATATAGCAAAACAACAAAAATGCCGAGAACTTTGGTAATATTCGCAATACGCGTGACGTCACGTTTTTCAACAAGGTTGCGGCCAATGACGTCAGAAGTTTCCTATCCAGTTATTTTACAATCCATGATAAAACATTTCCTCATTTTTTTAAAAATTTCTAGTCCCGCCCGGCGTGACAGCGGGACCGCTAGCTACGCCACTGATTGAACTGATAATATAGCACTGCGAAGTCTGTCGTTTTCATTCATTCTGTATTACGCACCGGAAATTGATACCGCTTTCTAAAAAAAGGTATCAGTTTCCTGTGCGTAATACAAAATTGATGGCAATATCATTGGCCGACCCACACGACCACCAAGAGTCAATCAGACGCAACCTTTCAAACGGTGCTGAACAAAAAAAGCAGCAAAGCGTTAAAAGCCCCAGGAAACCATATTAGCCACGCTTGGCCATTTCGAATCGTTACTCGAGCAAATCCAGCGCAAAAGTTAAGCAGAATTTGCCAAGATGGTGATGTCTAGAAGTACAGCGGTTGGGTCGATAGTAACGGGTTCTATTATGCTCGTTTTTGCCATTATTACCGTGATATGTGGCGCAATTTCAGCCGGGAAGCTGTCTGGCGAGGCTGCAGCCTCGGCTGGTCTATGGTCGCTCTTTGTAAGTATTAAACGTTTTTCATGTGTAACGCCGGCCCGTATTCTAAAAGCTCACTCACACTCAATGAGTGGAAGTTCAATTTGAGCTTCTCTCGAGTGTCATTGCTGTTTTTGAATAGCTGGAGTACCTTACTATGTCATTACGTGTCATATCTTACTATGTGACTACTCACCCTCCAGCTATTCAAAAACAGCATTGACACTCAAGAGAAGCTCAGATTGAACCTCCACTCATTGAGTGTGAGTGAGCTTTTAGAATACGGGCGTAAGCCTTACTGGCTAAACCTTATGTGACATTGTTCGAAAGTCTGGTTTCCTTTTGTGAAGTGTACGCAAATACGTTATTTCAACTTGTATTATAGCAATGCCAATGTAGGAATATCTAGTGCTCGCGACTACCACGACTAAATCCAGACTAAAGCTAAATTCTGCTTCTCTTTTGCTATTTGGTGTCAACTGTCGTGTTCGCCAATGCCAATGGGGGATCATGTAAATAGTCACGACCGAGATGCCATTTTGGGATTTGTATGCAGATTAGTAAAGTCAAAGGCAATTTACGGCATGCTTTCGTCCCACTTCTGGTCACAACCGAATAAAAACCGGCCTTGATTTGTGTACTGAAGACTTTAAGACGGCCGAATAGCGAATAATATTGAAATAAAATCGATAGAAGATTGTAGACTACACAGCCGAAAATATACATTTTCTAAAATGTAGGGCGCGGATTGTTGTCATGTCATGCTGCATGCATGTGTTTCCCTCTTTCATGAAAATATCTGTTATGTATAATGCACAATGAATTTATGTACCCATATCACATTTGAAGATACAAACTAGTGTTTTAAAAACTATATTATTTGTGACGCGTGGTCTGTGCTTTGCTACACGGCTTAATAACCGCCGTATAGGCTATATAGTGCCAAGTCAAGTGCGCTGTGAAAATATTCAATACGGCTACAACGCTTTCCCGTAAGTTTGTACACGCACAAATATATGCTGGGCTTTCTCGCTTTTACCGCCAAAAATGAAGTGAAGAACAACTAAAGATCGTTTCTGTTTGGTTCTGTCAAAGTCAAAGCAAGAAATCGTTTTCAGTTGAAATTGTTTTTGCCTTTGACATTTCCAACTTTAGCCTGCTCAGCAGACCCCATCCGACAATTTGAAGTGGAATAAATATTGGTTTATGATCTTTTTTATTATTATTATTAAGTTAAAATACAGATATTGCAAGATACGTTGAATTACATCTGGTAACACATGCAGATGTAAATTATATTAAATACTCTATATGCATGTATATATATATATATATATATATATATATATATATATATATATATATATATATATATATATATATATATATATATATATATATTTTTTTTTTTT